CCAGTACACTGTTAATTTGTAGGGACCTTGTCACTGGTCACACTGTGCCCACGAGTGTCAGCCTCACGGAGGCCGAGTGCATCACGGTTACCAAGCCCGTGGGTCAGGGGCAGGGGAAGGGACAGAACCAGTGAGGGGGAGTGAGAGGGAGCTGGATGTGCCCTCAGCGTGCCACCCACGGGTGAGGACACTGGGTGCAGCCGGCGGCACAGGACAGACACACTGAGAAAATGGTCGATGGCCTGATTTCATTGGAACCAATTTTCTTCCACTTTGTGGAGCCAGGTCTTGGCCGCTTCTCTCTTTGAGGAATCGTGTCCAACTTGAATGGCCTGGGTGTTCACAATGCCGGCTCGAGTCAGTGTGCCCGTGGCCTCCGAGCAGGTGGGTGTGGGACACCAGTTCCTCCTGCGTGACCCCCTGGCTAGAGAGGGTGAGCCCCCACCCAGCATTGGTCAACCCCTTCTGAAGTCGGGTCCAACTCTACCAGGAACACATCTGTTTGCACAAAATGTGAAAGAGGTTTTCTGGGAAGACGAACGAGGAGGTAGGGAGTCTCCAAGAGCAGGGGCCCCTGCACGGAGCTGCTGCAAGGTTGGCAGTCCTGGAAAAGGGCAATAATGAAGGGCTGACGCAAGGAGCCCCCAGCTGCCGCCTACGTGGGCCTGACCAGCTCCCACCTGGCGATGAGGAACAGGCTGTGTTAGGTGTGGCCTTGAGGGAGGGGCTCTCTAGAAAGAGCTTAAATGAAGCAGCTCCTAATTCAGCCTCCCCACCCCACCTCACCTTGTGCAGAAAGGCTGCTCTGACCCAGGGCGGCCTCTAGATGCCCCACCCCTGCTGGCAAAGCAAAGGCGCTGTCACGATGGAAAGCCTGCACCACCAGCTCGAGCATCCTGAGGCCTGTGGGTTTGCTGCAGACGCAGCAGAGCAGGGCCTCAGGCTTGGGGCTCACACTGGGCATTCTGCCCACATGTGTCCACCAGCACGTGCCCATGAGGGTTGGTTGGAGGTGACCCTGATCCTGGGGTCTCTGCTCGGAGTGTCCAGTTAGAGAAGTTGGGCCGTGGCTCCCTGCAGGCGTCAGCCCCCAGACCCTCTGCGCTGAGCAGCACAGACACCTCCGTACTTTTGAGGGAAAAGATGGGGCCTTCAGATCCCCTTCTGTTAACTGAGCTGTGGAGACAGCCTGCAGGATGCCACGAGGGACCATGGTGAAACACACACCGTGTGGGTGTCTGCACGCACACATATATGTGGGCACGTGTGTGCATGTAACTGTGTGTACATGTCTGTCTCTGTGTGCACGTGTGTGTCTTGCGCATATTGGTGTGTCTATGTACGTGTGTGTATGCACGTGTGCATATGTCGGTGTATATGTTCATGTATGCATGTCTGTGCGTGTGTCTCTGTCCATGTGTCTCTGTGTGTGTTTGCATGTGTGTGTGGGCATAGTCCCCCAGGTTTTAGAACACTAGGCTGGAGGAGGTCAGCCCCTCCCGTGCCTCCTGCTACAACTGGGAAGATGAGAACACACGTAGGGATAGCTCGTGTCCAGGGAGCCGGGGCTGGAGCCCACGCCAGGCTGGACACGGCCCTGGTGCTGAGCTAGCGGCGGTGTTAGCAACCGCCCTGGGGCAGTCGGTGCATTCGCTGCTAAGTCCTAGGTGTGGTGGGGGCTGGGGGCAGCTGAGGCGAAACGAGGCTGGACAAGCCCCCAGCCAAGTCAGATCTGAACCAGACACTCAAATACCCCAGGCCTCTGCCGTTCTCGCTCTCCCCATCTCGCTGCTCTCGCAGCCACCAGCTGCACACAGGACGTGCTCAGTGCACATTCATCGGGTGAGCGGACATGGGCCCTGCCCAATGTGAAGCCAGCGACACAGAACCTGTGACAGCAGGACCCGCATCATGCCCGGGCTCAGCGCAAAAGGTCTGGCCTGAATTGCAGTGGACCAAACAGGACTCAAGGCCAATCCACATGGGCAGGGCTACGTGTGTGGACCGACACCCACCTCATGGAGAAGCATGAATGGACGGTGGTGGCAGTGCTATTTCTTAGAGGGACTTCCTAACAGCAAGACCACTTTATCCCTCAAATGCGCGTCTTCTACCCCAGAAATTTCACTGTGACCAACAGTCTGGGAGGATCTGAATCCAGTCCCTCCTGGGGGCAGAGGAAGAGCCACACTAGGGACACACTGCAGGCGCTGGGGCTCCTCCTCCTGGCCACCTGGTGGCTCGGGACCCGGGGCCCTTGCTGGCTTGGGACTGCCCTGCCTGCTCCGTGACCTCCACTCGCCACTGTGTGGCCTGAGGTCCGGGCTGCACACTCAGAAAATGCCCAGCTGTGTCAGCAAGGACTATTCAGAGCTGCCCAGAAATTTATCACCAAGCCACCTCATTTCCAAACATGGCTTCTGCTTGCAAGTCCCAGGACGGACTCTCACAGACCTAGAGGGCTGTCGGCCACACGGCAGACACTGGCTGGAGAGGCCCCGTTCTGGAAAGAGGGGCCATTTTGATGGGCTCAGGCCTCCACACCCCACCACGATCGGAGAGGGAGATGCGGACACGGCTGCCCAGCCCCTCTCTGGCCTGACCGCTGTTTATTAACAGTGGACATTTGCCCACATCTGCCAAGTGGCCCAGGACCCTGAGTGGGGAACCTAACTTGCCCCCGAAAACCTCTCCTGAGATGGCGGATGGCAGCGCCGAAGGGATGGGGGAAGGCAGCAAGGCCAAGGCCGTGCTTCTCCTGTAAGGACCGTTCCTTCAAGCACACGGGCAGCCCGCACGCAGGACCCCGAGAGGCCTCTCGAGAGCGGTTGGCACACCAGGAAATCGGCCCACCCATGGATCCCAGGTGTGCTGCCGAGGCTGTTAAGGAAAACGGGGACCTCCCCTCCCCGAGGGCGTCAGGAAGCCAGCAAGCATTCAGTGAACGCTCGGCCGGTGCGGCGTCCGCATGCAGAGGGCCTGTCCCAGTTGATGCTCAACAGACACTTGCCGAGTGGACACAAGACCGGGACACGCCCCGGGCCGTACCCAGCATCGCAGCCTCAGAGCAACTGGACTCAGAGGAACGGCGCTTTGGGAGGTGAATCGATGTCACTCAGGCGTCCAATTCCGTGGGATCGACAGACGGGCCATGGAGTCGGGGCAGGATGCTTTCAGGGGGCCGTGCTCCCTCTGTCTGTTGTTTGTTTTTGATGATCACAACACCCAGACTGCTCCTGGCTGAGCCCATGGGAGCCAGAGGGCGCATGGGTCTGAGCGGAGCATCTCTGGGCGGGCAGTGAGCGCCGCTCACCCCTTGTTGCTGACCTGAACTGCTGCGTCATACCTTCGGAGGCAGGCAGTGTGGCTGCTGCCCCCGCAGCCCCCCAGGGCAGATTGGGAGAGGCCCCTGGGCACAGGCCATCAAAGACTGGAGCATGGGAAGGAAGAGGAGACCTCAGAGGAAGCGGGAGGGTAATTTTCCAGTCTGTTTACCGCACACGGCACCCTGACTGCTTCTGCTTCTGCTTCTAGCGCGAGGAAGGCGCTGGTGGAGAGGTGGCTGCGCCCTCACTCATCTCCCTGCTACACGCGGCTGCTGGCGGGGGCCTCTCACACAAGGGACACCTGTAGCGACAAGTTCTCAGTGCAGGCGAGGGGGCCTGGAACGTAATTCTGCCACTTGGCCCATCTCGGTGATGACTGGTGGAGGGTCAGCCGCAGCCCAGTGATTGACTACAGATGACAGCGCTGGCCCCAGCACACCAGCTGCCCCCACCCCAGCACATGTGTCATACTTGGGCTTCCGAGGGAGCAGCACAAGTTGTGCTGGGAGGCTGCTGCTGGCTCTGGCGTGAAAGGACAGCTGGCCGCGCTGGCCCCCTCCTGCAGCTCAGCAGAGAGCATGGCGGCCCCACCCAGATCCTGCCTCTTGGTCTTCCTTGTCCCACCCTGCACCTCCATGGCTACCAAGTCCTAGGGCCATGGCACCATTCAAAGTGGCATTTCTTCCTGGACTCCCTCCCAGGGACGCCCTCCTCCTGCTCAGGGCCCTTGCCTGGCCAGCCCTTGACTGATTAGCCTTCTCCACAGGGCGGGAATCTCCCCACCCTGCCAGGCTGCCTTGTCCAAGCCGATTCCCAGGGAGGGCTCCCACCTGGGTGCCTGTGGCGCTTTGCTCAGACCCTCAGAGCGGCATTTGTCACCCAGTTCCAGTGTTATACACCTCACACAGGCCCCCCACCTGCCACCACGCCCAACACCTTAGGATCTTCCCAGCAGAAACAACATCGTCACCGACAGTAGGAGTGCCTTTGAGCATTTGCATGAGCCAGGAACCACGCAGCATGGCACACACATTCGCTCTTGAATCCTGTACCTTCTGAGGTTGGAGCTATGATTACCCCATTTCACAGAAGGGAAAACTGAGACTGAGCTAAGGAACTGGCCTGAGACAGCACCAGGCTCAGCTCCGTCTCCCAAGTGTGGGCCGGGACAGGGCAGGCAGGAGGCACTGGGGGAGCAGCCTGGAGGCGCTGCTGCAGAGGAGAGGGACCCAGCCTCTTGGGGGCACAAAGTCTTTGACAAGCTGATGAAAGGGACTCTCCAGAGGAGGCCAGCAGTGCACACAAGTATCTCCCATCTTAGGGAATTTGAGATAGCTGAGCCCCATCCGTGGACCCCCCAGGAGGCCACTGACCTGAGGTTCTGGCCCCTTTGACAGAAGGAGGGGATGAGATGGGCGCTGAGATCTGGCAGCTCTGGAGTGAAGAGGGGGGAGTGTCAGGCTGCTTCTGAGGCCCCTCAGCCTCTCCCTCATCTCCTTCCCAAGAGTGACATTTCTCCAATTCCCTGTTCCCAGAGGGTGCCCACATAGGAAATCACTTTTGGGGTGAGGAAAAGAGAGATGTGGCGGCTTCCCTGAGGGGTGCCTGCTAACCTTGCCCCGGCTGAGAGCCTCATTTCTCCCTGGCCCTTCTCCCCTTGAAGAGGCCGCTCACCTGGATGACGACCTTGATCGTGGCCGTGCCCACGATGGGCGTGCACACCAGGCCGCCGGGGTGCTGGCCGTCGGCGCTGCGGTTCTGCTGGCCCATGGTGAAGAGCATGGGCACGGCCAGCAGGCCCGAGGCCAGCCAGATGGCACTGATGAATTTCTTGGTGCGGCTGCGGGACATGAGGGTCTTGGCCTTGAAGGGGTGGCAGATGGCCAGGTAGCGCTCCACACTCAGGCTGGCCACGTTGAGAGCCGTGGCATAGGTGCAGGCGTCGCGCAGGAAGTAGTAGCCACGGCAGACGGCGTCGCCGAAGGCCCAGGGGTGGTGCACCCAGATGAAGTTGTACAGCTCCACCGGCATGGCGAGCAGCAGGATGAGCAGGTCGGACAGCGCCAGGCTGCCCAGGTGGTAGTGCACGGTGCTCTGCAGGCTCTGCAGCGACTTCTTGCGCGCCAGCGTGAACGCCGTCACCGAGTTGCCCACCGTGCCCACCACGAAGAGCGCCAGGTACACGGCCGTCACCAGCACTTTGGAGTAGATGTCCGTGTTCACGTCCAGGTCGCTGTTGGGCGCCGCTCGGACCCACTCGGACGCGTTGCCGGAGCCGTTGCCAAGGCCGGATGCCAGGAGCGTCGTCTCCATCCCCGACGGCGGCAGGGGGAAGGGGTCGGGGCCAGGCGCGCCCCCGGGGCTCGGCGCGGAGCTGTTGAGGCGCATGGTGGGCGCGTGGGGTCGGGCGCCGCTTTCGTCGGGGTCCGCGGCTCGGTCGGGCGCCTCCGCGGCCGGAAGCCGAGGCGAGGGTGGGCGCGTCTCAGGCGGGGACAGAGTACCAGGGGCCCGAGCGGAGGGCGCGAGACGGCGAGGGGGCGCGTCGTCCAGGCGGGAAGCACCAGACGCGGACCGTGCCACCCGGAGCGCTCCGGGCTTGCGCTCACCCGGGGCCGCGGGCTCCGCTCCTCTTTCAGACTCCCGGCTCTGGGCTGCGAGTTCCTTCTGGGCTCCGCGCTTGCCCCGGCTTCCTCCGATCTCCAGACGCCGCGGTTCCTCGGGCTCCGGGGCGGCAGTGCCGACTCTGCTGGAGAGCACCCGGCCGGCCGGGGCTGCGCGGGGCGAGCCTGTGGCGCCGAGCGGAGCGCACGCACCGCTGCCCCGGCGCGCTCTCTCCCTCGCTCGCGCTCTCCTCCCTCGCGCTCTCCGCGCACACCCGCGCCGCACACCGCCCCCCGCGCCCGCGCCCTCCCGGGCTCCGCGCCTCTGCTGAGCTGGCGGCGGCGCGGCGCGCCCAGCCGTGGGGGGCGGTGGACCGGGGAGGAGGAGGCCCCAGCCGCTGTCCCCGCCCCGCGGAGTGCAGGGCTGGCGGGTCGCCCCCGTGCGCTCCCAGGGACAATCCGGGCTGGGCGAGCGCCCCGGGGAGCTGGGATTCTGGAGGGGTGCACAGGAGATAATGGCTCTTTTCAGGCACCTTCCCCCAGGCGGCACATCCTCCTTTCCCTAGTCTTCCCAACTTCTCACTCCCCCGCCCCGCAACCCCGCCACGAAGGGAGCCGTTCCCCTCACAGCATCTCGCTCAGCGGGGGAGAGGGGGTAATGGAGGGGAAGGGCGAAGCAGGAAGCTTCCCGCTGGGGTGGCTGGGCCGCCCCTCCCTTCTGGGGTGCCTACCTAAGGTGCCTGAAGCTGGTGGCCCAGGGGTTCCTGGCACAACCAAGGGGGTGGGTGAATGAGGGGGGCAAAGAGTGGGGAACAAAGCAGCACCCCTTCCCATGCAGGCTGGGTCCCTGCACCGGGCACCCTGGAGGAGTGGCCTTGTCCAGGCTGCTGTGCTATGAGCTGCCATGCCCCAGACCCCATCACCGCCTGGAGCTGGTCATCAGAAGTCACCCTCAGAGCCTGTGCCAGGCAGGGTTAGGGAGGGGCAGCCCTGTCCCTGTGGGGACCTGGCTGGCGGCACTTGCTGTGCTGGGAATGGGAAATGGGAGTAGGCTGAGAGGGGCTGGGTGTTGAGGGGAGGGAGTGAAGCTGAGGAAAACCCACCCAGCCCCCAGCCGCCAGCCCCAGCTCCCAGCCCGAGTCCAGCCTGCCCAGCAGGGAGAAGTTCAGGCTGATGAGCTCATGGCCAGCATGGGTCTGTATTTATTCCTTCTTGGCTTTGCCCATTCCACCAAAACCTGCTGCTCCTGTCAGGGAGTCTGAACGTGGGAAAGTACTTTTAGCCTTCAAAGGCAGCACCAAGTCCCTTTGCTGGAAGCCGGTGCAGGCGGCTCAGAGGCGACAGACCCCCTGGCCCTGCTATTTAATGCTTGGGCGAGTGTCGTAGCTTCTCTGTGCCTTGATTTCATCATCTGTAAGATGGGAATATTGGCTGAATGGCCGCCTCTTGAGGGCAGGCTGCTGCAGATGCTGTCAGTGCTGGCACACAGGCACCCCGGGAACACCCGTGGAGTGAACACCGGGGAACAGACTGTGTGGTGACTTCAGGGGTGTGACGGGGACATGTTCGGGCCAACAAAAGTTGCTTTAAAACCCCACCAGGTTAGACTAGGCTTGTTCTCTGAAGACAAACCCACCACTTAAGTAAACCCATCTTGGGATTGAGACCTGAGTGTCTGCGTCACAAGAGGAAGTGATGGTGCTGGACCCTGTTGGACCCACGGGAGCTCAATGCCATCTCAGCACCCACGGTAACACTGGAGTCTTACCAGGGATGGTGACCTCTGGTCACCTCCGTCAGGAGCCCTCCAAGGGCAAGGTACCTGTCAGTGGCCAGTGGAGCCTGTCCCTTTGCCGGCCTCTAGCTGTAGATGCTCAGGACGATGCCAACGGAGACGCATTCCTGCCGGTTGCCTAAGCTCACTGTTTGGTTTTCAAACCCCTGACCTTTCTGCTAAGCTGGCCTTCTTTTCAAAGATTAATTTTTGAGCCAGCCTAGGAGCTTAAAAAGTCATAAAAGGCAACTTAGCACAAATATTATGACAAGGCATTTGCTTGAAACCATCAAGGAAATGTCGCTTGGAAGGCCTTGTTCTACAGGGGGCAGCAGACGCGTCCACGGCTCCCTGGTGGCCTGCTCTGGATGCTCCTCCGGCATCGAGAAGCCGGGATGGCGCAGCAGCCGGAACCTTCTACTCCAAGTTGTTCGCCCCTTTCTCCTCTGATTTCCCCGACACAAATGCTTCCCAAACAGCTGAGACCCTTGAGAAGGTGTTGGCATTGTGCTCGGGGAGGACCAAGCCAGGTCCAGCTGTGTCCGTTGGTGATTGGGCTGTACCCGTGGCCAGCACCCGGCTCCCACAGTGACACGTGGAAGTTTGACCCTCCAAATGCTGTGTGTGGGAGGGGAGCTGCACCATCCTGTGTGCGGCGAGGGCTGGGAGCCGTTCACGAGAGTCTGTGTTTCTTGGGAAGCAGGAGTTCTGGCTGAGGAGGCAGCAGGCATGTGGGGTGGCTCCAGCTTTCTTCAAGTCAGTACGTGATGTAGGTGATGTGGGATCCTGGCTGCTGAGCAGGGTGGTGACTCTGCCCCGGGGCAAAGATCAAGTCCAGAGAGCTGCCGAGGGGAAGATGCCCAGGTGACCCTGCCATGGCTGGGGTCCCTGTGGGGTTTGTTTCCTAACTTGCCCCCAGCTCTGTGGCGCTACCTGGTATACAGTTGGTGCTCAGGGGACTGGCTGAACTAGGGGAGAAAATATGACAACAGACAGTGGGAGGGGAACGTGTGGTACCCCATGGTTCTCCAGCAGGCTTCCAAATGAAGAGGGTGTGGGGGAGGAACTGGAGGCAGACCCCGGGCTGGCACCCTGAGGCACCCTCAGACCCGCAGCTGTGGGAGGCAGGGGCTTAATCGTCTCATCAGAGACTGGCGGCCCAAGTCGGACAGGGTGGTAGGAGGGCTTTATCTTTCTGGCTACACTGCAGAGTGCCAGGGGGGCCCTTCCACCCTGGAGACCCCCTCTGTCTCCAGTCCCCATACCCCTGTTGAGCAGCTCTCGCTAGCAAGAAGACTTCTTCACCAACTGACAAAAATAAGTTCACAGCAACACCTGTATCAGTTATCTATTCGTCTATTGCTGCGTAACAAAATACCCCAAACTTAGTGGCTGAAAACCACATACATTATTATTATTATCATTATCATTATTATTATTATTATTGTTTTCTATGAGGCCACAGGCAGATGGAGAGACATGTACATTTATTTAGAGACACTCAGACTGTGTAATATGCATAATTGGAGAGTTTAGCTGTCGATTTTCCCACCCACGGCATGGAAATTGCACATGTTCCAGAACATACAGCATTCCAAGGAGGATTTTAAAAATAGAGCAGCACGTACAAATGTAAGCGAAGTGCGAGTGGTAGCTGCTGGAGGGGCAGACAGAACCTCCTTCCAGCCTGGGCACCAGTGGGTTCCCAGTGTGTTCAGCTGTGGGCAGACCCCGGGGGTCCGGCTCAGGCCTACTAAGCCTCGCTGATTGCCTCCTTGTCCCCCAGATTCCTGGATCACCCATTGGCCCTGGGTCGGCTTTCTGGGCCTGGGAGCCATGTTCACAGGAAGAACCAGAAGAGAGATGGGCCATGGCTGCCCGTGAGTGCATCCCCCTAACGCGAGGGCCAGGCCACGGCAGGGGCTGTGGGGTGGAGAGCTCGTGGGGGCGTCGGGGCTGGGTAGGAGGTGGCACCTAGATCAGCCGTGCACTGACCTTGGGCTCTGGCCCCCTGACCATGGGCCCAGCCTCAGTTTCCTCATCTGTGAAGTGCAGACAATGTGGCCCATGTCATTAGGTTGCTGTAAGCACCACATGACAGATATACGACCTCTCGCCACCCAGAGGTCACGGCTCAGTACACGGCAGCTTTAACCTGTGGGCTCCCCCATGGTGAGCGAGAGAGCGTGAATGGGGAAGAGGATGGCCCAGCACGAGATAGTGCTTCTACCCTTCCAGGGTGGGGTCTTGGCTCCGGGGGCATTGCCTGGCTGTGGTGTGTGTGAAGCCGAGGATGGAAAATGTCAGCCACTAGCGGTACAGGGAGTTCCCTGTCCAGCTGCAGACACCTGGGCAGTCCCACCCGGCCGAGGTGAGCCAGGTGACAGGCAGGGAGGGTCACGGTAGGATGACCACCCTGGTTTTCCTGGTTTTATTTATTTATTTATTTATTTATTTTTTTTTTTGAGGAAGATTGGCCCTGAGCTAGCATCTGTACCCATTCTCCTCTATTTTACATGCGGGACGCCTGCCGCAACATGGCTTGACAAGTGGTAGTAGGTCTGCACCCGGGATCCAACTGGCAAATCCTGGGCCACTGCCAAAGCGGAGTGCACGAACTTGACCGCTATGCCACCGGGCCAGCCCTGGAACTTTCCTGGGTTTAGACGGGAGCTGCAGCCCCTCAGGAGGCCGGGCCCTGTGCCGTGGGGCCCCTGGTCCCAGGATTTTGGGCTCTGTCTCTCTGTGGACTGACTTCTGAAACAGATGCCTACTTTGCTTTTCTCTCTCCCCCGCAGGCCCCCTGCTCGCCTGCTAGGACCGTTTCTCACTTCTTCTTCCAAATCCCAAGTCACAGGAGGCTCCCTTCACCTCCTGTGGCCTTAATGCCGAGAATCTTCTAGTTCAAACCCCAAGCCCGCTCAGCGGAGAGCAGCTCCTTGGAACCGAGGCCCGCGTGTACACGCTCATTTCCTCCCAGCTCTGACTCTGCCTGATGGTCTGACTCACGGGGCCACCAAACATTTATCACCGCTCGCGTCTCTGCCGTCTGCCAGCCCGGAAGCCTCTCAGGCGCCGGCCTCTCCCTCCACCAGCAGGCGAGCACTTTGCAAGGGAGCGCACCCAGCAGGCGGGAGGGCCGAGTCCTTCCTCCGCTTCTCACCCCCCAGAGCCACCTCCCTTCAGTACGGAGCCAGGGGCTGGCCTGGGGCGCGGTAGGCGCCAGCAGCTCTCGCACACCAGGAAGGGACAGCTGGTTCTTCTCCCGCCCAGCCGGCACCCCCGTGTCCGCAAGCCGCGTCTTCCTGGTGAGCCACCTGCCGTTCAAGTGGTCTGTGTGCGTGTACAAGCACACGTGTCTTGGGCACCCGGGCACAGGGACTCAAGAACCCTCATTGGCAAGCCCCTCCCCTGCCCTGCTCTGAGACCAGCGGCGGCTGGGCCTGTGCCTATGGGAGAAAGCCACG